CATTATACTATCACTTCTGCGTAGAACTTAGCTCCAAATGAAAGGAAGAGGGCTTTCACTGCGGAGTTGTTTATTGGCGAAACACCAAATGATCAGTTACAAGCTATTGGGCACGGGAGCAAAACTCTCATAGGCATCTTGTATAAAAAACTGAATATCCATCTTCACCTTGGACGCGTCTTTCTGAACTTTCCGGGATATTCATTGACTCTTGCTCAAACCCAAGCATATGCTACAAGGCGACTCAATAAATTCAGTGATGGAACCCACTTTTCAAGTGATGTGAAGCGGATTTACGAGGAGACACTACTTGCATCATCCATCAGTAGTTTTCATCGTTACACACCTTCCCCCTTTAAAGGTCGTTCGCATGTCATTGATTTTCATTTCCTCCGTCAGGTCACCCTCATAAGCGGGGCTACTCGGCCGCTCTTCTGGTGTATCAAGCCACTTACGAAGCTGCGCCCCATTAACTGTGTTCGATCCCCGACCGTCTTGAATTCTGTAGGCGATTAATTTGTCGGTAGATATCCTGTTCCTTAGACAAAATCTTAGTTCAGTGGGAAATTGGACTGGGTAATTTTCTTGTCTGTGAAAGGCTAAGTTCTTCGTTTTCGGAGAAGTTTGGTAACAATCGGTAGATTTATTACTGGGCAACGTTTCGCTTTCGACACCAAAGCTTTTGTCAGGCCAAGTGATTAGGTTACGAGGTAGGCGGATGGAGAACCAATCAGCCAAGTCAAGCTAAAGCTCTGTTAAATGTAGGCCGATGGGTTTTGCGTGTTAGGGTGGGTCACCAAGTGTTAAGCCGATGGGGAAACCTATATGGATTGGGGTCCAACCTAGGGTCTGGCTCTTCTTTCTTCTCCAACCAGAATGCAATAAGCAGTGTTTTTGCAAACCTGTACACGATAGGAGATTAAACAAGGATCTCTTGAGAAGCTCGGGTTGAAGGACTGGCTAAAACCTCCCAAAGTGACATTTCAACCTAACCTACAGTCATCTTTGGAGTCGCGTTCTCATCTTTTGGAACTCCAGCAAGCCGAACAATGAATTTTGTGAGAACAGCTCACAAAGACTATTGGGATAATGTGTACATTCTTCACGGTGGTAACTCTTTATCGACATCAACATAGGGGCCAACAATAGCAGTAAATTTATTCTGCTCATTCCATATGGTCGGTTTCTTGTTAAAGATTGCACATTAGACTGGTATGTTTTGAAATGCTACTCTGGATACTCCCATGGAGAGGATGTTTTAAAATGCTACTCTGAGTACTCTCATGGAGAGAGAGACTCCTTAATTTTCATATCGCTTTTCTACTAAACTGCATTGAGATTATCTATGATATCAAGTTGAGATCTGGTCATTTCTACCCTTCAAGAAGGAATGCTGAAAATGTCTTTGGGAAATTTAAAAGACCTGTCTTTAGATTAAACGAATGCATTTTTTAAAATTCAAATTTTCACTGGAATGCTGTGTGAATGATATCCATCTAATTCCCTATAGTAACTTGGGTGTGCAAAGCTGGAGCAGCGATAAAACTCCGACCCAGAGTCACGTGCAGTCACGTGTCGGGTGTGTGACCGAGTGCACTGCTTACCCATGGTCAATTAGTTGAAACATTGAAGCCAGTAAGTGGCCCCCGGAGGTACGACGCTTGCCTTAGACATATGTAATTTTCTCGCCTGAGGCATGGATGGGTAGGCAGTCACAGACAACCTCTTGCCTAACCAGCTTTGTTGCACATCCGTCCCAGAGAGATGACAAACAGTACACATGACCGATACTGTGGTTCACTCCGCATCGCCTACCAAAATGGGTAGCAAAACCTGATATCATGAGACCAATTGACCAAATATGCTTGACTCTTTCGATGGCATTCCCACATCTAATGTCTGGAATAACTCTGTGCGAATTGCTATGTGTCCCATCCTTTGGCATTTCGAGACAGTTGATGACCAGCTGGTGTGGAAATGTAGCATACGTTGTAATTTTCAAGACGCTCTAAACCAAGTGAAGATGCTTTCTAGTTGGGGTATGCAAACATGGTGAGTGGTCGAGTAGCTTCGAGAATTGGAATACACGCAACGGACCTTCAATCTTTTTCAGATTAATGCTGTACTGGAATTGATGAATGGGCTTTTCAATAAATACCATGAGCATACTTCAGTTAACTAAATTTCATTCTTAGAATGACACAACAGTGCGGCATCTGTGAAAAAACAGAAGATGCGTTGNTCCCATCCTTTGGCATTTCGAGACAGTTGATGACCAGCTGCTGTGGAAATGTAGCATACGTTACAATTTTCAAGACGCTCTAAACCAAGTGAAGATGCTTTCTAGTTGGGGTATGCAAACACGGTGAGTGGTCGAGTAGCTTCGAGAATTGGAATACACGCAACGGACCTTCAATCTTTTTCAGATTAATGCTGTACTGGAATTGATGAATGGGCTTTTCAATAAATACCATGAGCATACTTCAGTTAACTAAATTTCATTCTTAGAATGACACAACAGTGCGGCATCTGTGAAAAAACAGAAGATTCTAAATAAAATTAAATTGCAAACGCAAGAGCAACTTCCTTTTGAGCTTTGTTCACAGGCTATCATCTTTGCCTGTTCAAGCCAGGAGCAAAATGCCTGTCATTTTCTCCTAACCATGTACCATGCACACTTTGTTCTGAACTGCCAAGGTCATCCCATCACATTCGGGCTCTTCTAACGTCCAATAACCGGTGGGTTAGTCCTATAACACCAGACCTGTCCAGCTGTCCAGAGGACCTGTCGTACAGTTTATTCACTCGCGCTTGCCGAGTCGAGTAACTCTGTACATGTCACTATTGTACTTCTTGAATGTTCACTTTGGGAGATTCTCCGCTTCGCTCACTTCGATTTCTTAAACGCGAAGTCAGCCACATCATGCAGCGTAACGCATTTCCAATCACTGTCTAATGCGGCTCTGCCCGCTATTCCGGAAGTCCCAAGCAGTGTCGCAGACATTTTGGTAGAATATCCCTTCCACCCGTAAAGCTCCCAATAAACAGCCTACAAAAAAGAATAATTATAGCAGTTAGAATTTTATTCAGTGGAAATTTCTCCCTACAAGCCCAGCCTATAATCAAAAAGTAAACGAATTAATATCTCATGATGGAAACTACTCACAAGGTTGCTCAAAACTCCTCGACAGCCCAAGACCGGTTTGGTTTCGCTTGATCCTTCATGAAAAGATACTGCGGTATCTCGAATATCGTGCTAACTGATGTGCAGCAGATTCAGTTGTAGAATATTATAACAATGAGAGATTCAGTTGAGTCTCTCGTGAAAACCACCGTTGAGTATCTCGTGGAAACCCAATTGATTTGTAAATGAGTGTATTTCTCGAAAACTGCAATTTGGGTTCAAGTAGAACATAAGGTTGACGGAAACTCGGGGACTGCGCCTACTTGATGAGCCCCAAGGAGGGCGAAACCGCAGTGTAGGTATTGAAGAGCTTTCACCAACCTTTCGAGTAGTTTCCTTCATGAATTTGCAAGGTCAATGCGATAACACGCAAAAACGTCCTGGTACAAACCTATCAACACCTATTTGTGTAGGAAAGGGGGGCCAAAACGTACTGTGGTCAACACAGTTTGAGGATTACGCAGAATAAAGTTCTGTCCATTTACGACAAAACCCTTTTTGGCTTGTTTGTTTACAAAGAATTGCCCACACTTCGACTGTAAGTGTGGCAGAGATAACCAGTGCTTAGAAATGCCATGAAGTCCACCAGATCTTTCTGTGTGTTTGGGTTAAGTACGCGTTTTAAGTCCACACCTGACAGTTTCGACCTGCGCGCTTTTCTACTTTATCCACGTTTCGGAGGAACAAATTACGTCTGTTTGTCAAATTTAATAGACTTTTTGGTTCAACAGCTGCTGTGAGACGTATCTTCCGGCTTTTGTACGTTGAGTGCCTACGAGCCTAATTGGTTAGTTTATTCAAGTGGTCTTTGGCCTTGAAGACCTAGCGCGCGCGTGTGCGGACGCACACACACACACGCACGCACGCACAATTGAACAAAAATCAGTCAGCGGGTTTGAAGTGGATTTGAAATCAGTGTTCAAATCAGAGTGCGCTTCAATTGCGACCAGAGAAGTTTTGATTTGACCAGCCGAACTCAATCGTCACGCAACAGCCGAAATTGCGCGCGAATAATAGATAATCTATCCTCCTGGTTCTTTCACGTACCTGCGAGTGGTTGTCAGCAGATGGCGTTCGTTTTCAGTTTAGGCGTCCCACGAAGTAGGATAAACGGCAGTTGCGCATATTTCTAGAGTCAAAGTTTTTAACGTTGGTAAAATGGTATAGAATTTGTTTTTTTTTCAGTGTAGGTAACAATGGCTGGTGCGTCACCACAACGAATGAATCAGAATGATAGGAGCGATGATTTACTGAGCCTAATTTGAAATAGTTGAAAAACAGAATGAAGAAACTACCAATTCGTGTTACTTGATGCAAATTTTACTTCAAACAAGATGGGTCAAAGGTTATTTCCTCATCATCCGACGCTTGATTGAAGCCAAACGCTTGAACCTGGGTCATTTTCCCAGGTGGATTCAACTCTCCCCACGTTTTTTGGGGGGTCACACCTGTAGCTCTACACATTCCGCAATGACTTACAACTAATCAGAATCATCCGATAGGTTCCAAACGCCCTTGACGCTACCGAAGTAGGAAGCCCTGACAGGCGGGCCAATCGATCGACGCATTCAGGCCAGCTACTGCGTAGTCCTTCGAGCCCTCAGGCCACCCCTCACATATGTTCACCTGTGAAAATTAAGGCGCACCAAAGTAGAGCAGGTGTAACGTTGTACACTACTGATGAGGAATGCGGGCAGTGTCTTCTCGTAAATCCGCTTCACGTTTCTTGAAAAGTGGGATCTATTATGGAATTTGTGAAGTCTCTCCGTAGCATTTGCTTGCATTTGAGTAACAGCCAATGAATATCCAGAAAAGTTCAGGAGACGCGTTCAAGGAAATGATGGATATTCTGTTTTGTAAACAAGATGCATATGAGAGTTTTGCTCCCTTGTTCAGTTGGTGTTTCTCCAATAAACAACTCCACAGTGAAGGCCTTCCTCCTTTCACTGGTATAGTAATCGTAACACGCTCGCCTCTAGTGTCAGATGTGTAGTGCACGGTGCCTGCTAGTTCGGTTGATTTATATGTAAGTATAGGTGATGTAGAGCCTTTCTCATTGGGTTTCGGTTTACGAGCTTTCTTTCTGTTTTTCCTCCACAGAAATCGTCCTGAACCCCTATCTTCGGAGAATCACTGTCCCTTGGTGCTTCCAGAACATGTATAGTACAGCTGCGCGGAGTGCAAACTCCGGCACCGCCAAACATATGCACTGTTGTTGCTGAGCTCTAATAAGACCGAAACTCCAGGTCACTGCTTCCCAGTTTGGTGTAGACTCACCAGAATGATTGCGCCAGAACAGGAGGACGACTGTTCAAACCACAGTGATGTGGGCACCATTGCAACAAATTTCGGAACTCCGAAAGCTTGTAACTGGCAATGTCTTGTGGATCGACGCTAAGCTTGGTGTTGTTCAATTAGAAGAAAAAAAGGAGAAACTCACCTGGCACCCAGTGAATCTCTCGTTTCCGGCGTTTTGTCTTCTGCGTATTGCGAATCAATACGGAAAGACAATGTCATTATGTAGGGACTATTGCTGGTTTTAACTTTGAAGTTTCACTATGTCCTTAAGGGGGAAACCTGACTCGGAATGTATTTAATCAGCTACAATCACTGATCTACAAATCGCATGCGTTCTATGAATAAAACAACAGAAAACAGATGGGCTTAAGTGGAATCCGTCGATTATTTGGTCCGCGCGTAACCAGCCACTTTAGCACAGTTTATATCACAGTCGTCTGAATGGTAAAGCTCCGCATCTGATGAGCAGAAAATTTGTTTTAGGTTGTTTTCACAGTTAAATTGGTGCTTCAGATCTGGAGTATCGGTCACAAAATGAGTGATTGCAAGGCTTGTACACGCGGATGAGTGATAAGAATCGGGAATCAAACATAATGGGAAGATAACTTTTAGAGAGAAGACAACTCGGTAACTCCTCTGAATAGGAACAAAGTCTCACCATCAGTTTCACCTATTGCAGACCATACACCACTGATGGTACTTCTAAGCGAAGTGTTTTCAATACTACACACAGAAGGACGCAAGTTTTACAAGTCAATCTACCGCCCACTAGACGCCCAGCTTATATTATTACTCTGCGTTATTTGAGCAAGTTACTTACGGTGTATCTGGCCCGGTCGATTGCTTATTGTTGAGTCAAAAACTCGGTTCAGTGGTCTGAATCGAGCTTCTCGACTTCTGAAGACGGATGTCTGAACTGTGTATTCCTCTTCCTGACACATTTACCTCTTCACAAATCAATTGCATCTTTGGACCAAACAGCTCTTGTTGGAAACTGTATAAGTAATACAGGTCTCATCGTAGGAACTTCCCATGAATTTCTGGATCATTTGGTATCGCATAGTGTAATAAATTATTCTTTATATACCACTTACATTTGCTTAGGGGTACCGAAGCTCACATGTAACGTCAGTACTAACTACTTATACGTTACGTGGTTCCGAGAATAAATCATGAACGAAATGAGGTAACGCCAACTTCTTTAGCCCATGTTTTAAGCCGGTTGAAAGAAGTTTTTGTAGCTTGTCAGACATACATGTTTGCGAACTTTAGAGTTTAGTCATTCATTCCGTGTGCGACGAAATGAAATTATCATTTGCAAAATGGATTTTTTCGATCAAAGGCCGTTGGTAGTTGCTCGTTAGTGAGCAGGACGAGTCAACTCACCTGTACTTTCAAGCTTTTTTTCTAGTTGTCCTTTGAACTGCATACCTGAATTGCATTAGCAAGTCACGTACAATTAGCAAAGTCTGGACCAATGCTCGGTCTTTTTTTCAAACTTCCTCGAAAGCAAAATGCTATTTTATCCTTTGAAACAAACGCCCTTTTTATCGTTTGTAGCACCCCAATGATAGAATAATACTGTTAGAGTTTTCTTTGAAATAAGAAATATTTTTTCGCTGATACCTTCTGAATTGATTTGCTGTCTGTAACTCTGTCAGCCACGCAGTAATTTAACGGTGCTTTATCTATCATATGGATGAAAGGATAATTTATCTGTTGAGTAACAGTGAATCCAGCGACGAATATATTTCAGTGGGTTGTATGTGTAATCGGGGCTCGACAACTGTCCTTGACAGGAGGGGAACCTGCGGTAAATAGGTCAGAACGAAGCAGTAGAAATCCTGCTGGTTCAGAAAACAAAGTGAAGGTGGTTGGAGAAATTTTAGTGTACAGAAAGGATTCGGAAGTTCACATGTGAGCTTAGTTCTCGATCTGAACCTCCCAAGCTAGCGCTCACGTCCAAACAACTACCAAAGGTGCATAAGGTACATTAACCCCCAAAACGAAGTCAGCAACACTTGTAAAGCACTTCATATACATAGAGCGTAAGCGGCAATAACGTCCTGGAAATTCTGACGCCTTCTGGATGCGCCATTGGCAACCGGTATTCAGCCAATACTGGGTCATGATTGGATGCTGGGTCCAGACGTTCGACCAATCAGAACTCCGCTTGACGCGGAAGCGGCAAGCATCCCGAATTCTCGGCCAATCTCGCGTGGGATGGACTTCTCGGCCGTAGCAGTACCTGACTGTGAGCGGTAAAACGTGATACGTGTGGAATTTCGCCTGACAAAATGATCCATCAGAAGTGTGTTGAGAGTGAGGAGCTCTAAATTAGGTGGCAAAAATAACTAGGTTTAGTCGATATGTGCGGAGATGATCAGGCCTATCACTTTCTGCGTACCTTCAGATAGCAATGCAAAAGAGAACCCAATAATTCGTCAGCTTTTCTATGTCACTGAAGCGGTTTTAAACTTCGAGTTTCAACAGTGAAGTCTGATGATGACCAGTCGGACAGTTTAAATGGAGAGGATATTTATGAGCATTTCCAAATAGTTCATTTGGGATCTTGTCTTGTAAATGAAGCAAATCCATGCTGAAAGGCCAAAAAGCCCTATGAGACCTCTTTCCTAACGTTGGGAATCATCCTCCTCTGACGTATCTCCAAGAAGGTCCATCGCATTTCCTTCGGCCTGGGAACGATCAAGTTAGTTCCGATGATACCTGAGTTTACTGTCTCTCTTAAACAGCAACCAGCGGTTTATTCTCAGTTCGGAGGCCATACAAACTGCCCAAGTATCAGGTAGCAGGATAAAACATTCTGGAACCATTTTCAGTCTTTCTGAAAGCAAGACTGATGAGCGGCTAAGAGTATGGAAACTGGTCTGTGCCGATGTAGATTATACTTAGCTTGTTTTGTGTTGGGAAGTTTCCCGACTGCATTTTACATTAACCGACTTGTCGGTCCGTTGAACTCAACCCCTTGGGGTGGATAAACCGTATAGAAACGCGAGTCTTCGCACTCCACCGGAAGCCATCAGTTCGTTAGTAAGCAAGCTTGGATCGGTTCCACTGAGTTTGCCTTCCATACGCAGTCGTCAATAAATTAGTAATCGGTTTTCTGCCACCCCCCCTCCGTTGCTGCTTGTCTGTTTCACATTCTAATGACGAGCAGATACGCGGTGAATACATCGCATCCATGTCGTACCTGAGCGACAGAGGTACTACGCTCCTAGTTTCCGCATGTCTGTCACACTCGCAGGAAGCCCGAACGATGGAGAACTGGTTCTCCCCTACCGTGCAATGATGTGTACACCCAGTGTAGGCGCGAACGTCCCCGCATTCATGCAAAAATGTAATGTGCGGATTGGATGATCCGGATACTAAACAGAATTTTGAAAACATAATTTCGTCGCATTCGAACACTGTGAGTTGTTCACTTTGTAGTAGATGGCTTTGCCTTACTGACGTGGCCAACTTTAAATTCTAAAGCCAGGACGCTGTAGAAAATAGACGCCAGCGTAATTTGTTCTTAAGAAGTAGAGAGGTTGGCACTTTGAATCAAGAGGTCACTTAAGAAAATTGATGAGTAATTGATGGGTGTCGATTCTGACTACCAAAGTAATCCAGTTCACGCCTTAAAGACAACCACAAACTGAATTCCAATGAAGCATTTAGCTAGAAAGCATATAAAAAAACATTAGGAGCGTCGCGATCACTTGGACAGGAGTTAATTCAATTTAACTAGAACTGGTTATGATGAGTTTGTTTACTTGTTTTGCTCTAAAGATTAGGTGTACAGCGAGAGCATTTTTGAACTGAAATGATATTTGCCGAGGTAACCACCCATTTCAGTGTGAAAAGCTGAAAAGTCATATTAGAAGTGGCCAGGATTTGAGAAGGACCTTAAAGGCAGGTGGCTGGAACAACATCACATATTACTGGTTAGGCAACTGCTGATTCTGCTGATTCACCAATCCGTGGTATCTGCTGCTGACCCGCCCCAGTGCCTAATGCCGGAGAAAAAAGACTCACAGAAAGGAACACAACCGCTATATTCCGAAAAATCGAGTGCGAGAGCAAAAGTTACAACGGCCCCACGCTGTTTGAAGGGGACATTCTGACGTTGATCCAGGCTGTCTGATAGGCGTTAGTGAACACCCGTCAACATCGATCGTGCCTGTATGAAATGCCTGAAAGCTGGTCACATTTGGTATGCTTCTGTGGCGTGCATGAACACTCATCAGCTTTTGCTGAATTGATTGAATGACCTGACTGGCCGGATGCTTGCCGGCTTTCCTATTGAGTTTTTGGTGGGGCAATAGGTTCCGGGCGCTGTGAGCTTACTTTCAGGAATCTGACATTCCTGATAGAAACAGTGTATCCTGTTCCAGTACGCGAATATTCGAATAATCCTTTTGGAGCGCGTCTCCTGCACTGTCTGTCATTCTGTCAGCACGCGTTGTTTGTGTTGGATAATCCTGACATTCCTAGGCTATTTAAATTCGCTGTACGTCCTTTCACCTCCTGTGAACCGGCACTGTCTTCCAAATACTGGATGGCATACACACGATAGATACCATCTTGGGTGAGGGGAAGAACTCTCCATGGCAGTTGATACCCTTTCAGTGTGCCGCCTACCTAATTAAACGTGATACGTGTTCCTGGTTTGTCTGTCTGGATTCAACCCCAGATATCTGAAACTATAAGGTGTACGAAGTTGAATACAGTTCAAGGAAGTGGAGGCAAACATGACGGAGTAAGTGCCCAAATAAATACGCGGACTAAAAAACTATACTACGAAGTTGCATTTCATTAATCAAACATAGAGGATGGCTTATAGGTAATGCAAGGATAATTGAGCATTTTTAATTCAAGTTTCACCTTGTAAGTGTAGTTCATCTATGTTGAAAAGCTGAGCACTGTACAGCTGTTACATCATGAATCTTACGAGATTCCCTGGAGCTTCGTGTTGCGGACGAGGCCAGTCGTGGCCGGTGGGTTTGATCAGAGCACTATTTGGAAGGCCATGGACTCGAAATTTCCAGTTGAAGATGCGCACTGCTGATGATTCCAAATGAGGATGGAGCAGCTGTAAAACGTACACTTCACCACGACTTTTCAGTACTGATTGGTCTTACTTACAGGAGGAAGTCTCCATTAGAGAACGTTACCACTGAGTACTTTTTTTAAATTGATTTGGGTTCCACAGGAATTGCGTATCGGTTCGTGTTATTGGCCTAATTTAATAATCCTATGTAATCCCGAACCACCAGGTCCTGGATGGTTAATTAGCAGTGCTCATTATGGGAGTGGAGATATGCAGGCCACTGAACAGCTGTTTTGGACCGTGCAGGATAACAGCCACTCGGCTGTACAGTTGTTTACAATAATTTGACTACTTTGAATAAAGTAAGTAGCACAAACTAAACAGCCCCTGACCAGTGGGTGATCGACCACGTGATCCATAGGCTATCAGGCTTATTCATCAAGGCAGAAGGTTTTGCAGTTTACCATTATTCCGGGTCCCGACGTCATCAGGGAAGGGGATTCGAAAACAATGTCACTAAAAATTTTTTCATCCAAAATTGTGCTGTTTCTCTTAGAAATTACGAATGAATATCTACCTAACTAAGGACTTCACACCCCTCAGGAAAATGAGTTATGCGAGCTTACAAAGACCAGTACACATTTAATCAGAAAACACTTTCGGTTATTGCACTGAAGGGCAACTTAACATACTGCAGGCTGGTATCAGATGCATATCATCCGGTAAACAGCGGTCGATCCTGTGAAAGCTTGTTCACATCAAGCAACTCACGAGTGAATGGGGTGTTACTGCGCGCAAGATGCTGATCTGAATGTTCACGCAGGGGTTGGAGAACACAAGCCGGTCTGTTTGAAGCACGGCGTCACATAGTCTGCTTGTTTTAAATTAGACAGGCAGTTTCATCCATCAAATTCTTTAAGCTACATGATATCTTACTTCTAGTAATTTGTTGTAATACTACTTACGTGGGGAAGCCTAGAATCCACTAGAAGCGCCTAGAAGCCAAGTGGTAAAACATTTTCTGGATGAACACTGTGGCTCTTATTTGTTGACACAGAAGCACAATCGCGTCCAGTTTGGTTCTGCTATTGTCATTTTTATGCGCCAGACCCGCTTATGATCAGACCTGCCGAAATTCATTAGTAATTTGTATTGTTCTGCAATACTACTATCATTTAGAAGTAAAATAACTAAACTAACACAACTGTAGAATGCATAGAATGTATCATAGTATAAAACTGATTAGAGTCTTTTTCCGTTGATCGAGCATGCCCCAAAGCAAGATCACAAGGAGCAATCAAGGTTATTGGATATATTTCTAACGCATTACTCATAAGGTCGCTGAAAATCCGCCGCCAGTCCACGACCGGTTTTGCCCTTCCTGGGGCTCATCAGGTAGGCGCCGTCCCCGAGTTCCCGTTCTACTTGAAACCAAATCGCACAAAATTAGCGAATATAAACTCATTTGCAAACTAATCTGGTCTTTCGAGAGACTCACCTGGAACCCAGCTGAATCTCCCGTTTGTGATGTTTCCAGGCAACTAGAAACTCGAAAAACCAAATTAGATTGTAAATGAGTGTATATTCGCTCAGCTTATGGGATGTTTTGAGGAAGCAAATTTTTAACTCACTATCTAAGCAAACGGTCAAAATATAGTGTGCACTTACGCTCGTTAAATTCTTTTGAAATGTTTTTCGCAGTCGAGGAACACAATCTCAACCTTGAGCGATCGCCTCTTAATACATCCACTTGACGAGTTCCAATCAGGACGAAATATTTACGACTGCTGTACTAATCAATAAAAGGCACGTTGCTGATTTCTGATCACCGAAACGCGGAACGAAACGGACAGTACAGCACAGAAAAGGGCTGTTTTTGTGCCCACAGTGGAGATCTTCCGTACATATTGGTCTAGGTACCCGAACGGACGATATCTGGGTATTTATCGCAGTGGTGCGCAAACAAGTTTGTACGTTTTCTGAATTTCCTGTTAAAACAAAGTCAACTGGGCTACACAGCATACTTCGAGATTTCAGTATAATCGTTTCTGGGTCAGAATGGAAATGTATTTCCAGCTGATATGGATAAAATTGTCTTTACTAGCCATCACGGGCGTGTTCCTGTTTCTGACATGTGATAGCTTAACAATATCATGCTCAGAAAATCCAAAAACCCCTTTTGAAGCATACTAAGGAGCGCTCACTGAGTCTACAAACTAGGATGATAAACATCCTGTTCACTTCCTTCACCGAAAAGATTAATTAGTTTTCCCGTCATTCAAAGTAGCATGATTAAAATTTGATGATAGACGGTTTCTTGATTGAAAACGTCGCCCACTTGCTATTTGTTGATTGGTCGAAGCCACCATCCAATAGCTTAAAATAAATAGTGGTTGAAGGGACCAGGTAATCCCACTCGTTTTGAACCTGAAAAAGAAAAGATGCGAAGTTTTACGACACAGAATTGGGTCTCGTTGGTTTTACCGATCTAACAATAGGAATAAACTCAACACTACTTTCGGGGGAAAATAAAATTCTATGCATTTGATTTCTGAGGTAGATATGATGCTGTGAGCCACATATCGATAGTGAAAGCACCCGAGCTACCAGTATAGCGGTGATACTACTGATGGGAGGGCATGCGAGTAGTATGTTTTCTCGTAAATCCGCGTTGCGTCTCCTGACAGGTGGGATCTATTCCGGAATTTTTGTAGTCGCTTTGTAGCATTTGCTCGGATTTGAGCAAGAGTCAACGAATATCCAGGAAAGTTTAGGAAGACGCGTTCAAGCAGAAGATGGATATTTAGTTTTTGTAAACAAGATGCATATGAGCGTTTTTCTTCCCTGTCCACTAGTCTGTAGCTGTTCAGTTGGTGATTCTTTAGTGAAGAACTCCGCGACGGAGGCCTTCTTCCTTTCACCAATATTCGAACGCGTTCGTCAGGCTATGCATAATGATCGATTTCTCTCAAAATCAAAACCAGTCGATTGAAACTATGTGACTCAGTACATGTCAAGTAATCTGAAGGCATCTACACCCTGTTCCAGGTTCGAACTCGAATTAAATGCTGTTTGACACGTGGTGAGAAAAAGCCAAACGTGTGGTCATGATAAAATCGCTGGCCTCCTAATCCTATCTGTCACTTGTCCACTTGGTGGACTTTTGGACGTCCGTTCACAGTTAGTGGACGAAAAATGAATCGGACTTTCTTGTGTTTTCGTGTTCGTGGTTCGCTAACAAACCGAGGCATTATTGGTGCCTACATGTGTGCCCCTAGATAAGGCATCTCCCCACGCGGCCAACTTTTCGGATATCCATGAGTGAGCTAAGAGCCTTTGTCCTGCTCCATCAAGTTCCTGCTTCTCTCTGTAGCATTTTCGAACGTCAAAACTTGCTTCAGCATACTGTCGACTGTTTAAATAAACAAAGAGCGAAATCATCCATATCACGGGAATTATAGTTATGTACTTTTTAGCTGGGATGCGAGGGCACAGGTAGCGAACTACTAACTAAAAAAAACTGTTTGTCTGGTATAGTTAAATGGACATCGGCCTCCGTTCTTCAACCGTTTTTCAACTGTGAAATAAAACGTTGTGAATTGTGCAGATGATATGGAAAATATAGTCCTAAGATATAAAACCGTATTATACAAATACCAAGAGCCTTACATCAGGTCTAAAATAAGGACTTCATCTAATAAGTTTGCCTACTGGGGACTGAATGTGGGGCCCTCATGAATTTCAAGCACCTCTTCCGGTGACAAAGGAATAGGTCTGGTAACTAACGAGTTACCCCGGTTGTCTCTTATGCTCTCTGGTGCTACTTACCATTAGCGTGATTTTGCTGTACTCGATACAACAAACTCAAGGAATCCGACGGGTCGACCTGGTGGGAGGTATCTGCCAGGTAAGTGTCGGTCGCACCAGTCACGTGCCTGGTAACCATATTCTAAAGCGGTTTTTACGAATCCTTTGGCCTAAGCATCGAATAGTGCGATCCATATCGTTTTCTGAATACTAGGAAACAAATGAATAAATAACGGTTAATGGATGATGGACCGATAATTTCCCCCTGAGGCTGGCGTTGACCACTGATTAAATGTACACTTAACTGGGCCGCCCTGAACTCTCATCGCATAAACTAGTAAGGTAATCGCCATTCGATTACTTAGCAGAGCTGACTTACAGGCACTACACAAACAAAACTAATTTTGAGATAGCGGTTCATACAAACGCATATCCCGGCTCTCGATAGCGAACGACGTCATACTTGGGTGTCAGTACTCGCCCGGGCGACGGTCGAGGCTACCTTATACCTTGTTTTCCATCCTACGTAACCCTATCAAATAATTTACTTAAAAAAAATAGAAGGAAGGGCAGTAAGATTTAGTCTTCCGAAATAGCTGGAATCAGAATTCTACCACATCGGGACTGTTTTTATTCATTTGCAAACTATCATCACATCAAAGACAGACGCAACTGAATGTCAGCTGAATTACTGGATTATGTGTAACTCTGCTTACAGTTTTTGAGTAGTATGTCTGAAGGAGTAAACTGAGAATCATTACATCCACATCACACACACTTATACGACGGAGGGCTGTTGATCTATTAGCTGAAGTTTTGTCATTATTCGGAGAAACAAGACCAGTATTAGCTAGATACGCTTGTGAGTGCTTCACCCATAGATGATCCAACCTAGACGATATTATGTTGAGTAGTAAGGCACTTAAAAAACGAATGAAGATGGAAAGCGTGTAATGTCCAGTCAGTCACTGGCTCAAGTAAAAAAAGCAAGCCATCCGAGAATGGCAGTCTCCCTTTGATTTCATTGAATGTGAATGGAACTAACTGTTACAGGGTCATCTCTCCTATTAACAAAGAAGACAGTCAGAAATAGAGCATTTCGAAGGACCAGGTGAAAATAAATGATTCATATTTCGCCGAATTCACACTGTAAGCTCACCAATGATTGGTTGGAGCGACCCACACGCTTGTCATTGGTCGAGGCAGTTCAAATCAGTTTTTGTCTGTGGAGAGTTTTATGAGTAGTCTGATTCTGGTTTTCCACTTCACGACGATGTGGATCTTAGACATGCCATCCCAGATCAATATGAACAGTATTTCAATAAATTGGACATATCGATCTTTTTGCATTCTGCAATTGCTAACATTAATGCTTCCCTGTTATCTTTCACAATCTTGTCCAGTTCCTCTAGTTTCTGCCGGTAATAAATGTATGCTGTTCATAGATGGACAGTATTCATACTGTGAAGCCCATCGTCTGTGTGGACGACAAGGAGAACGACTGGGATTACGTTTGTTCATGGTCGGAACGCACGTGACCCAGATCCCAACGCGTTTCTCCACTGAGAATGGATTGCATGTTGGCCTACATTCCCTGTTAGTTGCCGTTACCAAAAGAGGCTATGGGCTGCAAATAAGTGACCCACGCGACACCACGGAGTTGCCGAATACCCACAGGGAACTTCTCCCTCTGCGTCTACCGCGACGCAGTGATGAGGAAGTGATTGAACTGACCCGAAAAGGTTTTCAATCAGTTGCTCAACGTCTGTATGGACGAGCCGTGGTTTGTGAACTATCCACACTGAAAGCACCGTCGAGTGCAGCTTATGAGATGTTTAAAAAATCCTGGCCATCAAACCTAACCTCACTGTTTATGAGCACAAAAAAAAGTCTCGGCTGTTGGCTAACTGGCTTCGAGGACTCGTTGATGTTATGCGCTTTGAAGTAAGTTTTGGTTCGATTGTTTTGGTGAATGATTTGGTGGATAAACCCGATTGCTCGCAAAGTTCATTGAGTCAGGATCTGCCTTTGAACACACCTGTTCTAGTCTGGTGAGCTCACTATATATCCTCATCCTTTCATCATCATCATCATCATCATCATCATCATCATCATCATCATCATCATCATCATCATCATCATCATCATCATCATCATC